TCATGACTATTTTCCCCTTCGCTAAACCAGGCGTGGCCAGCGTGTGATGCGTCTGGCCCGGGAGTTTCACAGCCCTGGTCTAGAGATTAAGGCTGCTATAGGACAGAATTTAGTGAGAGTGACATTGTCATTCTCCCAAACCAAATCTCAATGATATAATAAAAAAGGTGAAAATATGACCTTGAAACCACAGCAACTTTAAATTGGGAAGAATGTACGCACTGTATTACAACATTAAAAACCTGACACTATAATGAAGAATGAACAAAGTAGTATATTTTAACTTTAAGGTAATCCTAATATTGCCATTGTAAGTAATTTTTGCCATTACCAGTTTTAATTAATCACCATTATAGCAATAGCACTAAAATTTTATATACTGCTTCATAGTGCTTTACAGCCCGCTCTAAGCAATTTGCAGAGTCAGCATATTGCCCACAACAATCTGAGTCCTCATTTTACTGACCCTGGAAGAATGGAAGACTGAATCAACCTTAAGCCGGTGAGAATCAAACTCCTGGCAATTGGCAGAATTAGCCTGCAATACTGCATTCTAACCACTGTGCCACCACATTGCTTCTCATTGCATCTTTAACGTTATCATCATTTATACTAATCTTTATGGCAGAAAGCATCAAGTACAGCTGTTTGGATAAGAACATAAATGTTTTAGACCGCTAATCTGTCAGTATACCACGAGTCCCTGTTTTTCTCACCCTGGAACATGACTTGGAAAATTGATGTAAATCACAGAAAAGACACTGGTGTTTTAGCTGGCAGAAAAATAATATCATCCTACCAGCATGTTACATTAAAAACAAATATGAAATTTGGGCAATTCCAAAGATATTTACTTGAAGATATACAGGTATTCCTCAACTGACAACTGTAATTGAGTTCAGAATTACAGTTGTTAAGTTGTGGTGATTAAGCATATAATCACATAACCAGATTTGAGTATACAACAATTTTGCAACAGTCATTAAGTGAATACTGTGGTTATAAAGCAAATTCATAGCTGAATTTTATCCAATGTGCCTGTGATGACCCGGGGCATGGCACAAAAGCAACAAAGTTACAAAAGTAGGTGAAGTCCCTTAAAAACCTCCAACTTGGCCCCCAATGTCCAGTTATCTTCGGCTGGAGAAAAAACTTTCCCAAGAACAGTCTTTAAAGGGAAGAAATTCAGTCCATCCAAAGTACATATAAATTATAAATAAAAAGTTGGGAGGACACCAGAACCCAGATAAGCCTTGACAAACAAAGATAATGCACTCTTTGCTTCCAGCAACTTTGCTATGCGTAGTTTGCCTTTTTAAACAGTTTTCCCAGCTGCAACTAATGAAGGTTATCAGGGCCCTTCCCTCCCCCATAAACCACGTAACTCACATTGTTCCCTTCTCTGTACCTCCCTGTGTGCCCTAGGATGAAGAGAGGGTGGCCCTGGGTCTTCCTCTGAATCCCCAGCTGGATCCCCCCCTTCCCCAGTTTCTTCCACAGTCACTGGAGCCACACTCCCACTCCCTGTCAGCTGCTCGATCCCCTCTCAGAATCAGATTCCAACTGGGGCATGACAGTGCCTTTTTTCTGGAAATAACTGGCAAAAAAGTAAAAAAAATATGGTCATGTGGCCAAAGGACACTGCAAGCACCAGAAAGGTGAGCCAGCTGCCAGGTGCCCAAAATATGATCACATGACGAGTTTATTTGTGTAGCTGTTGTAAGTTCGAAATCAAGTAGTAAGGAGCTTTGGGATGGGTTCATCCTAACTTTGAATGGTCATGAAATAACTGATCCTAAGTTGAAGACTACCTAAAGATCCACCAATGAACTTTAAGAGTATAAACGTAAAAAAATTTCACAGATTCAGAATTTGTAGAAAAGTAGTTTATTCAAATGCTGAAGTTCTGCAACTACTAATTTTCAGCATCAAAAACTGACAAAATGAAGAACTTAAGGAAAACAGTAGCACTCCTACCATATCATATTACAGCAAACTAACATAATGTAGTCAGGGAACAAGAGTGCAGAAGTAAAAAAAAAAAAAGTGAAATACTGTGGAATAAAAAATATTCTGTATGTCATTCAAGTATATACCTTGTAACTGAAATACAGAATGATAATTAGCACAAGAGGAATTCCCATCATTCTTCTAAATTTTGTTTTTAATATTATATCATAGCTAAGCATATTTTTAAGATTTAGGAGCATAATCTCCTAAAACATGTTGCCAGATTGCCTTTTTTAAAAAAACAAAAATGCAAATTTCTATTCACATTAACAGTGTTCGTGTCGTTATTAATACATACATCTCCTTTTATACGTAAACATCAAGTCTTATTTCTATCCTCCACCCATTTGTACCACCTATCCCAAACCGCAAAATAGTCTGAATCATCTTTGCCTCTTAATTCCATTGTGAATCTATCCAGTTCTGCACAATCCATTATTTTTTGTGTCAAGTCTTCTTCAGGTGGTATCTTTTCCTTCTTCCATCCCTGTGTGAAAGCTATTCTTGCCGCAGTTATGATATGTATAATGATGTATCGGATGACCTTGCTCAACTTTCCCTTAATTATTCCTAATAAGAATATTTCCGTTTCAAGTTCTAATTTGTGATCTGTTAATTTCTAATAACCATCTTTGTACCCTCATCTAATATTTTTTAACCTCTGGACACTGCCACCACATATGGAAGAACGTTCTTTCTTTGTGTTTACACTTCCAACATTCTGCTTTGGTGTTTGGATACATTTTGGCCAGTCTTGCTGGGGCTAGGTGCCACCTACAAAACATTTTATATTGATTTTCTTTAAATGCTGTTGACAATGTCAATTTACAGTTATCAATCCACATTTTTCCCAATCCTCTAAATTTATATTATGCCCTTCATTTTTTGCCCAGGCAATCATTGATCCCTTTACTATTTCTTCTCCTAATTCCACTTCCAACAAATAGTTATACATTCTTGTTATAAATTTTATCTCCTTGCCTGTCAAAATTTGGTCCAGTTGTTGTAAGTCCTTTTCTATCCCTTGTTTTAAGTCTTTTCTCAATTTTGTCTGAATTTGTAAGTATGACCACCAATCTATAATTATATCTTGTTCTTTTAATTTATCAATCATTTTTAACTTCTCCTGATTATCTAATAGTTCTTCATATCTGACCATTTTCCTTGTATCCCTCATATTTGGGTGTAATATCGCTTCCATTGGTGAGACCCATTTTGGTATCTTCATATAACAGGGGTCGCCAACCTTTTGGACCTCAGGGACCACCAAACTCATAATTTTAGATCCCAGGGCCCACTAACTGGTTATGGGGGCGTGGCCTAATTTGTGGGTTTGTGGGTATGGCTTGGTGGTCATGTGACTGGCTGGGCATGGTTATGTAAATATTATAAATATTTATATAAATATTGAATTTTTTATAAAAAAGAGCAACTTTTACCCAAAATCAAGCAAAGCAAGCAGGCAGATTGAGTTGCTCACAGATTCATTCAGAGATCTATATATCTGCCATGGGCTAGCTCAATCTGTCACATAAAATTTGCTTGCAAGCAAACTCATAAAATTAACTCACAACACACCATGTATGTAAATATTGATTTTTTTTAAAAAAAGCAATTTTTACCCAAAATCCGGCAAAGTGGATAGATTGAGTTGCTCACAGAATCATTCAGTGATCTATCTATCTGCCATCGACTAGTCTCTCAAATTTGCTTGCAAGCAAACCTTCAGTCCTAAGGGAAGCAGAGCCGTAGATCTAAAGACTAGCTAGAAAGCAAGAAATCCAACCATTTCCTGTTTCCTAGCTAATCTAAATCTCCCGGCACAGCAGAACAGATGATGGTCAGGAAAAGGAAAAATAGTAATTTTAGCAGGCAAGTTTGCTAAGTTTGCTTTGAGTGGGCGGGGAGCGTTCCTGCGGGCCATGTGGGCAGCGCAGCCTTGTGTTTCTGTGCAGCCTGGATTAACTGCTTTGGGAGGGTGCTCTGGGGGCGAGATTTTTCTGCGGCCGACCAAAATTTTCTCAAGGCCCACCAGTTGGCGACCACTTTCATATAATGTTTTTTTTAACCTTTTCCCAAGTTTGCAGTAGTGATTCTCTTATCAAATGTCTATGGAAGTATGAATGTGTCTTGGGTTTTTTGTCCCATAGGAAGGCATGCCACCCTGCTTAGAGGTCATGGCCCTCAATTGACAAAATTCTTTTATTTTTCAAATTTATCCACTCCTTCACCCATAATAGCACTGCTGCTTGCCTTTAAAGAACCGTTCCATCAGACCTTCAGTGAAGGTCCTGCTCAACCTCTATATAGTCATGTGAGGACTTCTCTGTGGTGGCAGCTCATTCTGGAACACTTTCTCCTCTGAAATTCAGGAGGCACCAATTATAACTTATTTTAGTAGTTCTTGAAACTTTAGCCAAGCCTTCCCAGCATAAATGATAGAAGAATGTTTATCATTTTAAGAATTTTTTAATATAAATAAATGTTGGGTTGGACAATATATAAACCAGGATAGACATTTTAATACTGTCTCTTTAAGAGAATCCTAAAAGTGTAATTGGTCATGGTTTCTCAAAAGGCCATAAGATGGAGCCAGAAATCTGGGTTGTCTTAGTCTTAATCTCAGAAGAGAGTGTATCTCAGTGAGTCTCTCTGTTTCCTTCTGTTGGAGAGTATTGCCGTTCTTTCTAATTGACTGCTATTTTTGGATTTGATGTAAGTCTGATACTGAACTGTTTTTGATGCTGGACTTTGTTATTGGATTATCCCTGGACTGAAAACTGACTGACTTACCTGTGAATGACTTTGGACTGCTTGTTTTTGAACTTTGCTTAAAACCTTTATTGGAAGTAAAAACCAACATTTACTGTACAGTGTATCTGTGTGCTGTGTGTGTATTATTCAAACACTACTTTCAAATACGTCTCCCTGTATGCGCTCATTCTCCTAACGGGGAATTACCTCAACAGAAGTATTCTACTGCTGTTTTTACTGTTAACCACTTTGAGACGCTTTGGCAGAAAAGTATCAATATATTTAATAAAAGGCACAAATAATGATACAGAAGAGAACGTTAACAACAACCAGATGACACAAACATTCCAAATTCGGATGTTTCCACATATAACTTAACAGACATGAGGATGGCCATTTTTTTTTTACATGCAAACATCTGCAAGTAATGAACTGCAAATGTTGCCAAAACCTACAATATTTAAAAGCAGGTAAAATGTCTAGGAATACTATGTTCAAAATACCAAAGAATCTGTTTCCACCTAAATTGCTGCAAAAAATTTACACCATTGACAAAAAGAAAGAAAACAAGTTGCATACCTGTAACATCTTCAGGTTCTGCTACCACAATGTGAGCATTTAATTCCTGTAATTTATGGTGCAATTCCTCCAGCTTCTTGTTTGATTTTTTCAAAATGTTGTCTACATAAGCCAAGTTTTTTTTATCTGTAGTGACCTTCCTGAGGTTTTCTGCTCCTTCTTTGATTTTAAGTTCTTTCCTTATTTCCCGTTTAATTTGATCCTTCACTTCATCCAAATTCTGTTGTACCATTGTGTCCGAATAGTCCAATTTCTGTCCAATGTTCACGTTCTCAGGAACAATGATATTTCGCACATCTCCCTATAAAAATCAGAAAAATATGTTAACTAACTAGTTTGCAAAGCTATGTGAGTTTCTACTATTTGTTTTCAGTCATTCTTTATCCGAAAGTCACAGAGCTGACTGATAACACTAATATAAGTGTCAGATTTAGAGAATATGTTGTATGTCTATTTTTAACCTAAATGTCTTAAAATTCCACAAGATTTGCAACACAGGAATTTTATTCTGATAAGCCTGAGAACCATAACAACTCTACACATACTCAAAACTAAGTCCCACTGAGTTACCTAATAACTTTTCTTATTTAAATGTATATACCATATCAGCTCCAACACTTGTTGGGAAATAAATATAAGCAATTAAGCTGTGTACTATTAATATATTTAAAAGTTCAACTTCTTTTTCTCCTGCACACATCTGAAATATAGAGTCACATAAATTCAATTTTATAAACTTTTTTTAGTCATTATTTTTCAACAAAAATTCCAACCAAATACCAAGATGTTTCAGTATCTATGTCTAGTAAGTCACATGCACATGAACTAAGCGAAGATATTTGGCCACTACTTGTTTTTGTACAGTGTTTCTCCAACAATACGTCCCCCCCTCCATAGGAAGACCCAGCATGTTTTCTAGGCATAAAATGAAACTAAGCCCCTCCCCCCAAATTTGGCCTGTTTTAAAACATGCAAAATGGGGGGGAGGCGGGGGAAACTTGCTGTTAGAAGTGCCCCACGGGCAGCCACACCTCGCCACCAGCCGCTCCTAATGGCCGATCATGGCAGAGCGTGGAGGGCTCCCTACCCCCACCAGGTGCCTTTGCTGCAGACCCGGGTATGGTGCTGGTTGCAGGCCAGGTCAGCAGGCAGGCGGCATCAGCATGGATGTCCGCCGGCAGCGTTTCAGCCACTTCTCAGGCCTCCGTAGCTTCCATGGTTCCCGCCAGCGCTGGTGCCTCTCTCTCACTGTCTTCAACAACAGCATCTGAGTTGCTCCTGCTTTTCCCCGTCCCCACAACAGGGAAAAAAAACATTTTGAGGTACCTGGGAGTGCCGCACGGTGCATTTTCATTTAATCCTGAGCGGCTGGTTGGGCGTGAGAAGAACCGAGCGAGCGTCTCTGCCGCTGCTACCCTTGGTGCTCCAACCTCGGGCTCTAAAAGTTTCCAAAAGTCCCGATGCGCAGCCCGTTCCTGCATTCCAAGCACGCCCAGGCTGAGCTGCAGCTGTCCCTCTCTTGCCAGCATCATCTCCAACAATAGCAGCAGCAGCGGTTGTTGGAGATGGCGCTAGCAAGAGAGGCACCAGTGCCGGCGGGAACCGTGGAAGCTACGGAGGCCCGAGAAGTGGCTGAAACGCTGGCAGACACCCATGCCACTGCCATCCACTTGCTGACCTATGTCTAGAGCAAAGGCTCTTGGTGGGGGTAGGGAGCCCTCCGCGCTCCACCATGATTGGCCGTTAGGAGTGGCTGGTGGTGAGGCATGGCTGCCTGCGGGGCACCCTAGGCAAAGGTGCATGGGGGATGGGAAAAATTCACCCCCGAAAAGACATCCTAGATGTTTTTTCAGGGCTAAAAAAAAAAAAAAGACCCAGCCTTATTATATGAGAAACATGGTAGATAACCACAATCATACATAATTACGTGTATCTGTAGTGTTACCTCATTTATATATCACCTCTATAAAGACAAAAATCTTTTTTTTCTAGACAATTCACCCTTACATCTCCCTTCTAACTGTATGAGCACATACAAGCACTCAGAGATAACAAATATGCAGTCTACAATTATTATAAGACATTGGCAAAACTTGCCATATTTTTCAGATGTCAATTATCCATTGGTCCATTTAATACTGATTTTCCACAATGTTCAAAACACTTCCTGTCAAAACAGATAATTAAACTAAGAGCTGAAGTCCAAATCCTAAATAAAAATAAACCACTTTAGAAGCTGGTTGGTACTGAGATAAAATCTGATTAGGAAAAGCACACACATATATAATCTTGTACTATTATAGGTTACTCACTTGTCAACTTAATACTAATATGTAACTTGAACCATTACTGTACATGTTTTATATAGTAGGATGTTTGACCATTTTGAAAAGTATATGATAATGTAGTTTGAATTACAGAACCGTCTGCAAGAAAATGAAGGTTATTTGCTGAATATAAGTGTATATGATGCAGTGTCAGACTTGTGTAAGAATAAATAAAATGCTTAGAGAATGATTCAACAGGCAGCAAGATAAGGATGTATAATATCCCCTTGAGAGTTTAATGTATTTATGGAAAAATGAATAAGGAATGCTTGAAGGGTGTTAGCTGGGATTTAAATGCTTGTGTATTATAGTATACAAATGATCTCATGTTGTTAAGCTAACAACTCTTAAATACTTCTAGCAAATATTATATAGATTGTATGTTGCAATAACATGTCTGGATTGGAGTGCAGATCTGAACATTTAACTTAATATTATCAAAGGAAAACGGTAACTGAGTTTAACAGAGAAAACTGAGTAAATACTGGAAAATTATAAATGATGAAAAAGAAGAGCAATTTGTGCCCCTTGATAGGATGTTTACTAAAAACAGGGAAATGGACACAAAAATTTTAAACATACAAACAACGTAAAAAAAAGTTAATGAATAATGTACGGACTATTGTGAGAAATGAAAGTTTGTTGAAAGAAGTATAATGTGTGGAAAGGTGTGCTTCTGCCCTTTTAAAATATGGAAGTGTGAATTGGGAATGTTAGGTAAAATATCAGAATAAGTTGAATATTTTGGTAATCGAGTACTTAAAAGAACACGTAAGAAGAGATGGGATCAAAAATTAATGGGCACTGAACTAATGTACATTGAATACAAAACAGAGTGACACACGAAAGAATATGTTGAGGTAGTCTGGTCATATGGAGAGAATGAATGAGAAATTATAAAACAAATAAATATAGCAAAGAGCTTAAGAGAAAGGAGAAAACTGAGAAAACAGGAAACTATTTTAACAGGAAAACCATTATTCTTCTTATTACTATTCCCCAAAGGCCATGGTATTTTCTATCATGTAATCTGTATTACTACATTATTTGTAAAACTTAATCGAATGTAGTATTTGAACTGATCCTTTATCCTGATCCCATTGCGGTTTTTTAAAGAAAAAGTTTGTGTGGTGGACAGTTCATACTGAAGGTGTAATAGCTTGGACCTCCTGCCGATTCCAATGAAAGACTTCCAAACCCTCTTCTCACAACTCTACTACATCCTCTTGCGATTCCCAGAGATTGCCAGCTCTGTTATCTCTCACAAATTACTTTAGTCTAGTGGAAACCTTTTTCAGAGCAGCTGGTTTTCCAGTAAGAAAATGGTAGTCTCTTTCTTAGCCTTAAGAAGGCTGGAAAGGAAAAGAAAAAAGATTTTCTGAAGAAGAAACAGCTGCTGTCTACTGAAGGACTTATTTTTTTTCTTGAGCCACCTGATTTCACGTGCCATATTTCAGTTCATAGAATAAATCAGAATGTATGTTACAAGTAGCTTCACTGACATTATCTTGATATCCATATTACTAGATCCAGCCTTGTTGCTGCTGGTTTTGAAGATGGGGCTTTCCCCTTTTCTGGTTTTCAGCTAATCCTAGAGGAGAAACAGAAATCTCCAAAGATGGGGGGAAAGAGAGATTGCCCTTCCAGTTGTAAAAACCCAAGATAGGAAACCTTTTCTCCTAATTGACTCTTCAGCATTTGATTTAACCAGATTTGGTTGTCTCTGTCTCTGTTGTCTGGATGGAGAGAGTATATGGTTAAGACTCTGAACTACACCATGTTCAGTCCATCCTGAGCCTGAAAGGCCATAGATTGACTTTAACAACTCACCTTGCCTCAGTACACCTCATTTCATAGTATTAGGAGGAAGGACATATAACTGATCTTAAATTCATGAATGAAAAACAAGATACCAATCTAATAAACAAGGATAATACTGCTGAGTTAATTTTTCCTTAACTCCTTCAATTTCTGAACATCTTGAAAATGAATTTTTCCACATTCAATTTTGCATTAGGAGAAAATTAAATAATCAGTAACCACAAAGAGAAGGAAGAGGGAATATTGGATTAATGATTTAGAAATTAACAGACATCCTTAATAAAGTATTTATTCCCATTTTGTATACAATCAGTAAGTGCATTTAAGTAGATCCTAAATGGATCGAACTTTGAATACGAGCATCTTAAGAAAATTTGAACTTTTTCCCAATAATTTAGTAAATTCTGCAATCGCTTCCACTCATCTAATAACCATAATAGGCTAGTCACCCAGATAAGTATCACATGTGAGATATTTGGAAAAATTTGTATAATAAAACCAAACAATTTCAAATTTATTGAGTATATTTTACTATCAGAAGTGGATGTCTGATTATTAAAAAAATACAACACCAACCTGAAATCAATTAATTTACACTTCAAATATTTGTTAAACTTGTATGGGTTATAAAATATTTCACCCACTTGTCCTGTTTAGAAAAGATTAGATCATGCGGTTTGCAAAAGAAAAGATCAAGTGGGAAATGAGATGTCACTTATAGAGAGCAGTGCTGTGGGGCTTCTAATCATTCAGCTCACGGAGCTACAACCATGATCAGATCATTTCCTGGCACACTGAGGAAAACAAAAGGTTAAGATTTTCCTTTAAGAACAAATGATTTTCTTCCACATTTCATATGCTGTTTATGTGTATAAAATGTTTTGTTTATTTTATTGTTACCCATTCAGAGTTGGCAAGGGTTGCAGTGGGAATAAACTTATAAAATATTGCAGGGGGAGAAAGACAGACACTTTTTTTCTCTATGCATTGAAAACTAAATAGGCAGAGGAAGGAAAAGAAAATGATCTTTTTTGGACTAAATTATAAATGGTTTGGTTTGCACAGCGTATTAAACCATTGGGATTCATAATGTTCCAATCATAAGGCAGACATTTCATGTATGCTAAATTTGAAGCCAACGTGTTTTCTGAGT